CGTGTTCGCGGTAGCCACGCGTGGCTGTAGAATTGCTCGGAACAGAGGGGAGTTACGCGCCTCACGCGGCGCGAGAACGAAATATTGGCGCCGGGCTGAGGTAATCGTGGGACGATAAATTCTATCGTCGATATGTTATGACCGACGATGAGCGTCGCATGGCCAGCTTCGCGAACGATCAATTTATTACCGGAGCTTGTTATCGCGATCGTTTTCACCGGACGCTCTAATCTCGTTACGCGTATCTCGACTCTCGAGGAAATAGCGTTAAACATCTCGTAGCGAGGACCGAGATCTGGGATCGATCCGAGTCGGACGGTATCTCGAGTTCCATCGACGGACGTGGGGTAGCCTAAAAACACTTGAAGCATTATTTTTAGCGGCGTGTTTTTGGGTGGCAAAGAAGCTCGTCAAATTTAAAAACTTAAACGAGGAGAGTTCGACCGACTATTTCGATATCGGTCGCGTTATCGAAACTACAGTACATCGTTTTAACCGACGTTTTTCGCGCATATCTGAGAAATTAAGATTACGCGCTTCGTAATTCGAAGTCCTCGAAATCGTACCCTTCACTGTGCAATTACCGATATTTTCGCAGATATTCGCGTCGCCTACATTTGTCACAGTTCTCGAGAAAGTTAATTCTACCGGCGAAACGGCTGTGCATTTCGTTCGGAAGGAGCCGGGCCCGTAAGAATGTAACCGTAGGTCCGAGTTTAAAGGAACGAACGGTTGGAATTCGTTTCGCCTCGTCCGGCGATGCATCCCACTAAGCTTTCAGGAATGTACTCTCCGAAATTGGGACAATTGAGGAGGAATGCGGGAGTCGGCCGGGCAGTTTGGGCGGTACTACGAGGGAGAGAGAGGCAAAGATTGGCCTGGGGATATCCAGCAGCGAGAATCGTCCCGACGCGTCGCGTCGTTCCATTCCTTTTGTTCGTGAGTCATCGGGGTACCGCGACGCGTTCAGTTCGGTCAAATCGACCCTCGCCTCCCGTCTCGTCGTGTCGTCCCATCCGTGCTTCGACCTCGCAACCCCGCTGCCTTCCCTTTCCACCTTTCCTTTCTTACGTAACGCGCGCGTCACGCCGAGTTTCGCCGAGTCCTCCCTCGCGCGTTTCGACTTTAAACGAGCGATCCCGTTTCGCGTTCGTGGACCGCGCCACGAATTTATCGATATATCGCGAACGAAAGAGAATCGTTTCCGTCTGTCGTTACCTGTCCGCCGTCGGAAAAGATACTGTTCCTCCCACGACGTGTGTTCGTTTCCTTTTTTCTGGGAGACGGCGTGAGACGCGTCAAGAACTCCACGAAACCGCTCGCGATTTTCATCGACATCGTTTTTTACGTCTCGAATCGGAAAAACTCGCGTTCGAACCGCTCGTCGCGGTGTTCGCCGCTAAACTGGCCGGCGAACAACGGAATATCTACAGTTAACAATAAGCGAGCGAATTTATACCGCGTACGAACATGCACGGACGTGTTTCGACCAAGGGTTCTTTCTGTTCCCTCTTCCCCTCCCCGTCTCATCCCTTCCCGAGCCCTTTATCGATCGCGATCTCGATAACGACGAACTTTAACGAAGTGGTAGGAAACGCTAACGAAAAGGAGAAACTCCGACGCTCAGTTGCTAATCGTCGGTAATCGCGGCTTATCGGATGGAGCTCGAAACGCGTATTTGCCAATGGAAGAAGGGCTACCGACTTTGTTCCAGATTGCCACTGAATCGGCCGACTGTTTCGATAGAATCGATCGATTCCTCTTCGTACAACGGCGGCATTCACGGTGACAGATAAAACGGTGAAGGAATGAGTTTCGTCTCGGCGGTGGAACAACGAGAAATTTTACGAGAAACGTGAATTCCGTCGAAATGGTTCGCGACAACTCTCGAATCGGTAGACGAAAGACCGAATCGGTCGAAAGGTATCGAACGACGTTGATCGGGAGCACGGGTCACGACCGATCGCGACGGACGCGTGGAAAAGTGTCGCGTTCGTTCGCATTTAGATGCGTTCGAACGCGTATTTTTCTTTCTTTTCGTTCGACCGTACGATTAGTTTACGGGTCACGCGTGTAAAGCGCTCGTTACGCAAGGCTGACGTATCGGGTCAACGACTTCCTTTTTCTTCGTATGCACACCACCGTCGAGGAGGGATCGAAACGCTGCTGCAGCGATCTATCGAGCGAAAATAATTATCGAGTCGACGTTAAGCGCCGCTCGAGATTTCTCGCGATTACGCTTCGCTTCGAACTCGCCGCGACTCTCGCAACTCGTTGCCCCGCTCGTTACCGAGGCCGATCCTGAACGTTCAAACGTCCCGATCGAATCGGAGAAAATTCGAGTTTCTAGGTTACGCCGCGGCCGTGGATAAAAGATCGTTGCGTAGGGCAGCGACCCTTGCCCGTTTCGGGCCGATCGTAAACGGATAAGCTTTGTCGGCGACATTTACGCGTGGGATCGTAGCGCGGTGCTGGAGCGAAAAGAAACAAACCGGCCAAAGATAACGCACAAAGAACGCCGTTATACCTTGCTCGCTATCTCTTCGCCGCATTTTCGTCCCTGACAGAGTTGGCTGCTCAAAAGTCAAAACATCGATACGACTGGTCGGTCAAACATCGACAGGTATCGCGGAGCTCTCTCGTTATCGAAGATCCGCGAATTCGAGCACCTTCGAGCTCGTCCATTTTCGTTCGAACGATGGACTATCGATCACGACGATTCTCGAACGTCGGATTAATCTAGCTCTCCCGTTTACGAATACATTGTAGCGACAGATTTTCTAGATATTTATGATTAAAGTTCCATTATTTCTCTCGTTAATTTATACATTTTCCAGAAGGTCCCAGCAGGAGAAGTACTGTTACGACGCAACTGGCGTTATCTGAGCGAGAAGTTTTAAAGGGGACGCTAGAGAGGCCCAGTATTTTTTATTCGGATCGCGCTTATCTCGACGTCGACGCATCGCGCTCCCTCGTAATACTTTTCAACCTACCAGGAGGTTTTAACGCGCGGTGTACAAGTTCGTGCTCGAACGATACGATTTCGAGAGCTAGATCAACGTTACAAAATGCCGAGCTCGCTTCGACTTTCACCTACGAATGCCTACGTAGCGACGGAAGCGCGAGAAGCTTCGCGTCGCGTCTCCGAGATCCAAAGTTTAACGGGAAACGGCTTCGATTAAATCTGACGCTCGTCTCGGAACATTAGCATATTTATTAATCGACTCGAGCAACGAGCGTAGGAGCACATGCGACGATCGAAGCGATCCTTGACTCGCGCGCTTTTTCCCCGTTCCGTTCTCTCTGCAGGAGGTCCTAACGCGTGTCGCGACCGCTACGCCTTCGATTTCGTTTTCGATTACTCTTTGTTTCGTTCGGTTTGCTGCACGATTTCGTCTCGATCCTAATAAGAATCGATCGACTTGTTTCTTATCGGTCACTGTCCTATTCGATATTGTTATTACGTAATTGTTGTACATGCAATTTTTATAAATACATTCGAGAATTTGCTGCTCAGCGTCGAATGAGCAGCCGACATTCCGTACATGTCCTCGCGTGTTCTATCGTTCGCGATCTAGAGCGCGAACGGTAACGCGATAACTGGCTCTCGTTTGGACCACCGTGCGTTTCGTGTTAAAAATTCCTTTAGCAAACGATATACGGAACGAGAGAACGGCGGAAGGGGATATTCGAGATAGGTCGAAGAACAGCAGACTACGGGTAAGAATACGAGGGCGAGTACGGGCTCCGGCACGAACGCGGAGGGTGTTTATTTCGAGAGAAGATTAAGAGACCGGTCCCGTAGCGCGGTTCTGCCGACCACCGCGGTGCTCGGATACGTGCTTTTTAACGGTTCAACTATAAATACGCGGGCACAGATTTCGGTAATACCGAAACCCGTCTTAACTTCGCCCCGGTTCCGCGTCTCTTTTTGGAGTCAAGTCGTGACCGGCATCGATCGGTTATCCCACGCGCTGCCCACCTGTGTTTCTCTCTTCCGGTTCGAGCAAAGCTTTCGATCTTCGAACGGGACGAAGCATCGTTGAACGAGTCGAAAGGAAGCTGAGTGCTCGGTCCGCTTCCGATCGATCGATTTCGGACGGATTTCCGACACGAGACGCGACGCGTTCGATCGTTGACCCTTCGCGATGGAATCGAGAATCGTGAGGAGAAGTTGGCAGCCGTCCACGCAACGAGTCCGAAGCACGGTGAGCGTAACTTGTCCGAGACTCCAGGCTTTCGGTCGTTACCCTCGTTTCGCCGCTACGATTATTTTTTACGGAGAAACGTCCCATCGAAATCGCGTCCTCTTGATCGCGTCGATCCTTGAAACGATCCAATTACCGTCCACGGAAACGCGGTTAGTTTTGCGAATCGAAAACTCGATTCGCTTCCTTCCTTTGCGACTCCAACCGAGAATCCGAGCGACGCAGAAAACCCGACCTGTCGCCTTCCGATAGTTTTATAATGTTCGACTTCCGAAACAACGATAATTTATACCTGGAAGACTTCTGACTATATCTTCACGGTGTAACCTTAATCGTCTCGTTAACCGATGCAAATTAAATCCACTCGATTTAAATATTTCAAAACGTCACACAACGATTCTTAACGGGCACAATCAAACGCTTCTGCGTGACCCGGTTCGAGGAATTGCGATATTGGCGTTATACACGGGTGTTCAAGTTTTGACTCGAAGAGAACTTTTGAAATCTTTCAAGAACGGCCAGGAAAAGCTAGATCGCGGCGATCGAAAGGAATCGATTATTCTCGCGTGCAAATACTTTTCGAACTCTGATTACGAATAACGCTACACCGACGCCGCTTCGGTAACAGACGCGTTTCTCGTCGGCTATAATTTACGAGCGTACCGTCTCGTATCTCTCGCTCGGCTACGTAACGCGCAGATTCTCTTTCTCCGTCGCTCGCACGAACGGCGAGCAAACGTGCGAAACAGAAGTTAACCAAGTTAAAAAGCGTTTGCGCGGAGCTCTAGAAGTTTCATGGGACGGTGCTCCCGTCGTTTCGCCGAGAAACTTGTTGCTTCGTCGAGCCGAAGCGACGCGACGGTTCACTCGGTACGTTTTACGACTTTCGAGACGGGTTGAAAAATATTTTCGTCTCGAACTATCGGATGCAGAGCCATCGAAGAACGGTGTCACCGATTTCGTCGCGATCGTACAAATATTTGATAAATTGCAGTCTCATCTACAGGTAGGCCGGCGCACCCGATTCGGGTGTTTAAATCTCGTAATCGGAGGTTTTAAACGGCCCAGCGTATCGCGGTAGGGCCACGTCCGAACTCGACTCGTAGTATACGAGATTCGCTTCTAGGAAACTAGAGAGCGTCATCTGGAAAGAAGGATTCTTTACGAGCAGGCCGTTTAGCGACGTTCTCTCTCAGCGGTGAAGAAGGTCGTGCCCCCGTTGCTTCTCGAGAGGATCGCTGCACGGTCCTTTGTGCTGGCTCGGGGACGGAGAAAGGGACTCGGGAATAAACGCTGAGGGCGAGCTACGGCCCTGAGCACCGGAAGTCCTCCTCCCACCACGTTCCTGGCTCGTACCGTCCCGTACCGTCCCAGACCTCCTCTCCGTCCTCCTACTCCCAACTTCTCTCTCGCTCTCGTTCGTTCTCGTCTGGCTGTTTTCGCGCTCGTCTAACGAAAGTATGTACCTAACCCTTCCTCGATCGACGTCCCGGCGTGGCGTGCGCGTTCGACGTAGACGCGACGTCCGCACGGAAAAATCGTAGAAACGAGTCGAGAGGGTCGAAGTCGATCGAAATCTTGCCGGTGATCTTCCCACGGGTGTACCGGGGCGGCCTGCCGCGTCGGCGTAATCGTTCTAGCGTGTTAAAGCCCGAGGCTTCGGGCTTTCCTCTTTCGTTACAAAAAAAAGGAACGTGGCTAAAAACGGGAGACGCAGGAAGAACGGACCAAGGATCACGAACAACGAACGCCGACCGTTCGATCCGGTTTCCTACTTCGGCGGACTCGTCGAACCGAGATAGCAAGTTTTCGCGTACCGGAGGATCGTACGCGGGAGAAGCACCGCGGAAAAACGAAGGAAGGATCGTGTCCGAGGATGCGTTACGCGAGGAAAACGACTTATTCATAGGCGTTCCGGTGGCGGGGCAACCGCTTCGCTTCGTTATCGGCTAGCAGCGATCTTGCCGAGCATCGCTGGAACGACCAAACGTTCGACGTAACGATTCGTGTCCGGTGCTCGATGCAACAGAGATCGCGTAACACCGCTCGTTTCGCGTAAATCGTTTCGTTTCGTGCCGTTTCGGAATCTGCTCTCGTCCAACTTCCTCCCGTCCTACGCTTTCTATTCGGAACGAAAAATAACGCCACCGTACGCGAACTTTCAACCGTTCGATGAAAGTAAAAAATCTTATATGCATTTTCCGCAACGCCGTAGTGATACGGGAACAAAAGTAAATCGCATAGATGCAACACTGACAAAAATGATTTCTTTAGCAGCTCTTTTTGACAACGACCAACTTGATTTCTTTAAAGGCGAAAATTTACAATCTCGGTCTATAAGCATGGCCAAGGACGACTGTAACGTCAATGATCGATTAATAGGAAATATTTTTATCGCGAATGTAACAACTTTTGCTTGGTCTATGCTAAAGTTACGTGCAAGCGCGAAAAGAAGGAACAGCGGAGGAAGAAGCAGGAGGAGGGGAAGCGTACGTTGTCGGTGAATGCTAAGAGTATTCGGAGGCAAAGTCGCGGACCAAGTCGACGACGAAGAACGGGGAAAGGAGTCGGAGGCTGCGAGGAGGAAGAGGAGGGCCGGAGATGCCGTTACCCCGGAGAGTCACTCGGGGCAAGCCTAACCCAACCGAGAGAAACGAAAGAAGCGAGAGAAACGAGAACGAAGAGGACGGAGAGGGCTGGATTCTTCTTATTATTATTCTTCTTTCCAGCGAGGGCGAACACCCGAACGCTACTGACCTAATACGGCTCTTTTCTTCACCGGCCGAGTCTCTTTCGAGGACGATCCGCTCGACGAATCGAGACACGAGGTCGCCGACGAGTCGCGGCCGAGGATAACCGCGTCGAAACTCTTTCGTTACAAAAAAAAGGAACGTGGCTAAAAACGGGAGACGCAGGAAGAACGGACCAAGGATCACGAACAACGAACGCCGACCGTTCGATCCGGTTTCCTACTTCGGCGGACTCGTCGAACCGAGATAGCAAGTTTTCGCGTACCGGAGGATCGTACGCGGGAGAAGCACCGCGGAAAAACGAAGGAAGGATCGTGTCCGAGGATGCGTTACGCGAGGAAAACGACTTATTCATAGGCGTTCCGGTGGCGGGGCAACCGCTTCGCTTCGTTATCGGCTAGCAGCGATCTTGCCGAGCATCGCTGGAACGACCAAACGTTCGACGTAACGATTCGTGTCCGGTGCTCGATGCAACAGAGATCGCGTAACACCGCTCGTTTCGCGTAAATCGTTTCGTTTCGTGCCGTTTCGGAATCTGCTCTCGTCCAACTTCCTCCCGTCCTACGCTTTCTATTCGGAACGAAAAATAACGCCACCGTACGCGAACTTTCAACCGTTCGATGAAAGTAAAAAATCTTATATGCATTTTCCGCAACGCCGTAGTGATACGGGAACAAAAGTAAATCGCATAGATGCAACACTGACAAAAATGATTTCTTTAGCAGCTCTTTTTGACAACGACCAACTTGATTTCTTTAAAGGCGAAAATTTACAATCTCGGTCTATAAGCATGGCCAAGGACGACTGTAACGTCAATGATCGATTAATAGGAAATATTTTTATCGCGAATGTAACAACTTTTGCTTGGTCTATGCTAAAGTTACGTGCAAGCGCGAAAAGAAGGAACAGCGGAGGAAGAAGCAGGAGGAGGGGAAGCGTACGTTGTCGGTGAATGCTAAGAGTATTCGGAGGCAAAGTCGCGGACCAAGTCGACGACGAAGAACGGGGAAAGGAGTCGGAGGCTGCGAGGAGGAAGAGGAGGGCCGGAGATGCCGTTACCCCGGAGAGTCACTCGGGGCAAGCCTAACCCAACCGAGAGAAACGAAAGAAGCGAGAGAAACGAGAACGAAGAGGACGGAGAGGGCTGGATTCTTCTTATTATTATTCTTCTTTCCAGCGAGGGCGAACACCCGAACGCTACTGACCTAATACGGCTCTTTTCTTCACCGGCCGAGTCTCTTTCGAGGACGATCCGCTCGACGAATCGAGACACGAGGTCGCCGACGAGTCGCGGCCGA